TATATATATATATATATATATATATATATATATATATTCAGCAAGTTCTAGTATTCCAGTATCTCAGATAGTCAGAATGCATTAAATAATTTGACATAATATATTATGAATATACATGAATAGAAATAGTTGCTTTCCAGGGCAGTTACGAAACATGTTGAATGCATTGTTTATTTAGTTCATTGTGTCTTAAACTGAGGTCCTAAACCTCTGCAAGTCCAAGCCTTTCTCAAAGATCCATGAAATCACAATTAAGTGGCAGCCTATTTTGAAAAATAATAAAATATTAAAATCCTATCAAAAACCATAAGAAGAAATAGTGGTAGTGGGTGCATCTGTAGGGTAAGGATTGGAAGAACCTGAGGGTGGCATTAAAAGGGTAGCCACAAGTGAGCTAAGTCCAACCCTCCTGAATTCTGTTGACCCTTATACTCCTAGGAAGTGCTAACAATTGATTGAAAATATTCCTGTGGCTAGGATAAATCAATTTAATTGGACCTTCACCTATGAACCTGAACTTTTGCACCTGACAGCATCAATTTGAACATTGTACATTTCAATTAATATAATTCCTACAAACAAAAGCTCTTTTGGGGTCTTTCATGATTTTTAAAAGTAAAAAGTAAAAAGAGAGAAAAATGAATCACTTTAAAAAACATTTACTTGAAAAATTTAATAAATACAGCTAGTATATTTACTTCTTAATTGCACATTATAAAGAATTGTCTGAAAGATTTTACTTGATTTTGGGGTACGATTGCTGGATTTACAGTTGGCAATCATTTCATTATATGTTACTCAGTAATTAATTTTAGAAACCTGAATAATAAAGAGAAGCAGCTGCAAAGTTCCAGAGAGATAATTTATGAAATGATTTCAAATAATGTTATTTAAAAAAACCAGAAGAATGAAACAACATACTGTGTGTAAGTTTGTTTGTTTTATCTAGAAGTTGAGTACTAGTTCCCAATTTTTTTTCCTTCAAGCCAAATTTCAGGGAAGGGCACACAAAACTCAACAGCAACACAAGTTGTACTTTCATACATTACCTCTCACTTTCCTTTATGATCTCTTTTCCTTTCTTCCAAGTAAAAGTTGGCCTTGGCGAAGCTTTAGGCTTACATTCAATGGTTGCATCACTACCAACTTTAACAAAAGTTATTTTTTTTAAGAAGGTTTTGGAGAAATCTGGACCCACAGCTGAAATATAACAGAGAACCCAGAATTAATGAAAACTGCCATGAAATTGTCTTGAAACAAATGTTGAATTTATTCTGAATTCTCTCAGAATGTATTATTATTATTGGTTTCCAAAATTAACCTTCAGAATATCCCCAAACCACAGTTAAAAGAGATAAATAAAACAAGTGGGACATCAGTTTTCATTAACTAATTTGTCTGGTACATTCTCTGTATTCCTGAAAAGCTATTCCAAAGGCTGACAAATCAGCTAGGACAATGAACATTGTGTTCCGGGTAATCACTGAAAAGGGTTGTAATCTTGCATCAATTAAATGTTGGATGGAAAATGATGTGATTATGAAATGCTTTCTACATGTTAATTTCAGTGATTCTAAACACTGGATGTGGTTCTCTAGGAATTTCACGACCTTCATGGTTGCTCATGACTATAACATTAAGTAATAACTTGTGTATGTAAAATAACTATCACAAATGAAACAATGCAGCCAGAACTTTTATATCAACCCACTTCTTCACAAACAATTTGCTATTTTTTTTCCACAGAAGCAATTCATATCTCTATACTCTGCTTCTATCCTTGCAAATAAAGCTACAGATTAGGAGATGACAAATAACATCTATGAATGAATGAACTCATGCTAACTGTAAATGGCTACTTACTATGGAAATAGTTTAGACTTTCAAATCGGCAACTAAGGTAATTCTTAATACATTTTAAAAAATATATTATTAAATAAAGTGTTAAATCGGCGGTAGTAATTGAGAGGAGGCGTCTGAGGTAACCGTGAACCGTTTATTCAAACAAGAACGTCATAGAACATCAACAGTGAGTAGACCAGCAGGTCTTCTTCTTCTGACAGCCTTTTATACTCGGCTGTCAAAAGGTTCAACCAATAGCCTTGCGTATGACAGCCCGGCAACCGACAGGCACGTCTGATTGGCGAAGATGCGCCTGGCTGCTGCCGAGCTGTCATTCGTAAGTCCGAGGACTTACGAGGCTACAACATAAAGTACTGTGATATACTGTAGGACTGAACAGGGACATCTGCAAAAAAGTGAAAAGGAAAAACAAAAACAAAATGGCAGATGAACTACAGAATTAAAGCCCTGACCCTATTTACATACTTCTGATACATATTTAAGAAACAGGAGGCTTTGGTTGCAGAGTTTTTTCGGCATATCCACTGGTTAATCCACCACTCATAGTCACCGCAAGGATTAAAATGATGTGATTCATCTAGTATTATTAAATCTTCCTCCCTTTTAAAATATATACTAGTGCTATATCTTTATGTGGCCCTTTCCCCATATCCAGTTAATGTCTGTATGTAGACATTAACTAGATATCATTTACTTTTACATCTAAATATGGTTTCACAAATTAACAATTATTTATTATGCCTATAGGAAGCATTTTCTCCTTCAAAACAGAGGTGGGTTTCTATTGGTTCAGCCCAGTTCGGCCGAGTAGGAAGTAACTCGGCTGGCCATGCCCCCGAACTGTTCTACAGCAGCACCATCTTGGGTTTTTTTTTGCTTCTGAGCATGTATGCATGCATGCATGCATGCTCAGAAGCAATTTTTTTTACTACTGTGCATGCACATGCAGGATCAAGCACATCCCTGAGTGAACCAGTAGTAACAAAAGCCAGAACCCACTCCTGCTTCATATCCAGATCTTTTGTTGAGGTGGAGAAGGAAAAAATGTTCATTGCTTTCTCCTATCCAAAAACTGATTTTTCAGAAGCTGACTGCATAGCAATTTAGCTCCAAAAGAATTATAAGTAGTGTGAAACAATAAATGAGTTGGGTAGCTTCTGGGGGTGAGGCTTTGAAACAGACCTGCAGAAAATCTTTTCTCCGTAATTTGTTTCTGGTGTTTAGAAGAAGATCTATTCTGTACTTCCCCTGATGTAATATGAATCAAGTTTTCTTCAATAGCTGCAGGGTCCACAATGGCAAATGAATGTTTGTCATATAAAGCATCTAGTGAGGGAAAACTGGTCTAGCATTGAGTAGTAATAATGATTTAAACAGCCACTGAAAAACATGAGCTCAAGGATGTTTTCCATCAGATTTACAGGCTCACAGTATAAGTGATCCATCACACCATCACAGAATCACTTAGGAGATTGGAAGACATTATGCCTGAACATCAAGTGGCAAAGATAAGAGCGTGAATAATATTGTGAATGAGGAGACAGAAAGATATTATATAAAAGAATTACAATTAAGGCTTTTTCCCCCTTTTCTTTCTGTATTAGGAAAAAGGCATACACCAGTATTACCAGAGAGACTGTAGTTACTTCATTCCAACTGAAGTAGAATATATCATTCTATATACTCTCTAATTAAAAAAAATCTTCTAAATGTAATAATCTTTTTCCCTGCTGTGCTTTCACTATACAACTTTATATTTAATATTTAATAATGTCAGGTCATCTAATCATTTCAGGAAGTGATTTTCTTTCAAAGATGGAAATATATTTCAGGGAGCTTTATACCATGGCTCAATAAAACACTTAGAAATAATTTCCTAATATAGAATGAGACACACACACACACACACACACACACACACATATATATATATATATATTAGATTTTCACGGGTGTAGGTATGCTGGTCTTGTTGTATTCGGGTCTTTTCCCATGTAAGATTGAGATTGTCTTGGCAACATTTCAGTGAGGTCTCACTCGCCATATTCAGGCTGGTATTTTCGGCTTCGTGTTTGTGTGAGTAAAGCATGGTCGGACCTGCCGTCTTTCTATACATCTTGGTGTGTGTGTGTGGAGTGCTGGCTTTGTTTCAGCAAGTGGAATGATTAGTTGTGTGGTTGTATCATGATTGGTGGATTGGTGTTGATTGGTGCTGGCTGTGTGTCCATTGTTTTCGTGTTGTAACGGCCTCGTGTTGTAATCTACCACCCAGGCCGTTACAACACAAAATAACAATGGACACACAGCCAGCACCAATCAGCACCAATCTACCAATTATGATACAACCACACGACCAATCATTCCACTTACTGAAACAAAGCCAGCACTTCACACCCACCCACCAAGATTTACAGAAAGACGGCAGCTCTGACCACGCTTTAAGCCCAAAACCCAGTCTGAAGACCTTGCCAAAATGTTGCCAAGACAATCTTAATCTTACATGGGAAAAGACCCAAGTGCAACAAGACCAGCATACCTACCTAGAACAGTAACACAGATGCAAAGCAGCCCTTCAGCATAAACAGCTCCTTCAATTTATACTTTTGATATTTGCAGGTATTCATAGATGGGAACAGAATTCTCATTTCCAGTGAGGGGAGACTGGCAAAATGTGCCTCAATCCTTTACTACCCTCAGTAGAATTAAATTCATGTGCTCTCTAAAAGTCCAAATACCTTTCCTCCCCCCCCAAATTAACACAGATAGTCTTCAACCTATGACCATAATTGAGCCCCAAATTTATGTTGTTAAGTGAGGCATTTGTTAAGACCTTTTTGCCACAGTTGGTAAGTGAATCACTGCAGTTGTTAAGTTAGAAACACAGTTGTTAAGTGAATCTGACTTCTCCATTGACTTTGCTTGTCAAAAGATCGTAAAAGATGATCACATGACCTTGGGACACAGCAATGGTCATAAGTATGAACCAGTTGCCAAGCATTTGAATTTTGATTCCACGGTCATGGGGATGCTACAAATGTTGTAATTGTGAAAAATGATAATAAGTCACTTTTTTCAGTGCCGTTGTAACTTTGAACAGTCACTAAACAAAGAGTTGTAAATCTCCCTGTACAAACAAAATGCAAACATGTTCAAAATCATTTTGCTGAATAAGGGGAAATAGCTTCTCTGCAACTAGCCAATCTGTACTATATTTTCATTATAATGGATCTCCTTCTGGCATGTTTGTTCCTTAGCAACTACTTTCTTTTTCTGACAGACATGGTGGCAAAGCTAGGACAATATTGATATTGCATGGACATCAGTGGTGGAATACTGAATATGATTGTAAAGTGGATCTGGCTTCCCCATTGCCTTTCCTTGTCAGAAGTTCACCAAAGGTGATTACATGAACCTGGGACACTGCAACCAACATCAACATGAGTCAGTTGCCAAGCATCTGAATTTTGATCATGTGACTATAAGGATGCTGCAATGATCGTGAAAAACGGTCATAAATCACTTTTTTTCAGTATTTTTTGAGATTTGAGATTTTATTAATATTTGTAGGCCGCCCTTTTCCCTGAGGGGACTCAGGGCGGCTCACATAAAATCAGGGAGGGGGAATAC